CCCAGGCCGGCTCCCCGCGCTCGCCGCCGCCGCCGGGAGCCGCGGGCGGCCGGGCCCGGTGCACCCGGTACAGCCGCGGGCCCAGCACGCAGCTGAGCAGCTTCGCCATCACGGCGGCGCCGGAAGTGGCGGCGCTTCCGGGTACGGGGCTTCCGGGGCGGGACGACGCGGCACCGGGAGCGAGGCCACGCCCACAGGAACCGGGTGTTGTCATGGGAACGGGGGCGGGGCAAGATGGCGGGAACGGGGCAAGATGGCGGCGTTGTCATGGGGATGTGGGCGGGGCAAGATGGCGGCGCTGCCATGGGGATGTGGGCGGGGCAAAATGGCGGCGCTGCCATGGGGATGTGGGCGGGGCAAAATGGCGGCGCTGCCATGGCAACGCGGCCGAGACGAGGCCCCGAAAGGCCCCAAAAGAGGCGGAAATCGGCCCAAAAATGCAGCGAAAGGGGAAAAAGTGCCCCAAAAGCGGCTGGAGGGGACCCAAAGCAGCTGAAAGTGACACCAAAGGCGGCTTGGAACGCACGGAATGCGCCCAAAATGATGAAAAATGGGTCTGGAGCAGCCCCAAATAATGGTGGAAACAGCTCCGAGTGCCCCAAAACCACACAAAACCACCTGAAATCCTAAAAAACCGCCTGAATTACCCAAAATCGCTCCCAGACGGACCCAAAATCTGTCCAAAACACCCCAAACCCAGCCCCAAGCACCCAAAAAGGGCAAAATGGTCCCCAAATGTGTCAGGGCGAGTCCAAATTTCCCTGAACAGGCCGCAAACCGCACCCAAAATGCCCCAAATTGTACCCAAAATGCCCCAAATTGTACCGAAAACACCCCAAATTGCACCCAAAGCGACCAAATTGTACCTAAGACACCCCAAATTGTACTGAAAACTCCCAAAATTGCACCCAAAATGCCCCAAAATTGCACCCAAAACCGCTCAGGCCGAGCCCAAATTTCCCTGAACAGGCCGCAAACCGCACCTAAAACGCTCAAAAAATTGCACCCAGAAAGCCCCAAATTGTGCCCAAAAAATGCCAAATTGTACCTAAAATGCCCCAAATTGCACCCAAAGCAACCAAATTGTACCTAAAACACCCCAAATTGTATTGAAAACTCCCAAAATTGTACTCAAAACGCTCTGGCCGAGCCCAAATTCCCCTGAACAGGCCTCAAACCGCACCCAAAACACCCCAAAATTCCACCCAAAAAGCCCCAAAATTGCACCCAAAACGCCCCAAATTTTACCTAAAACATCCCAAATTGTACCCAAAACCCCCCAACCCAACCCGAACCACCCCAGAACCCCCAAAATTCGCCCAAATTCCTCCAAACCGCCCCCAAACCACCAAACCGGGCCCGAAGGCCGCGCTAGGCCCGGATTTGCCAAGAAGAGCCAAAATCGCCGATTTTCAGCCCAAATCTCTTTTGGGGTGGGGGGGCCGG